TGCGCGACAGTGTGAGACTCCAACTCAAAAAAAAAAAAAAAAGAATACTTGAATAAGCACACAGAGCAAGGGTATTTGTTGCAACATTGGACATGTGTCTGAAATGCTGAAAACATCCTAAATAACCATCATTTGGGAATTAAGTCAATCTTGGTACATTTTACTCAATGAAATATTTGTAGTCATCAAAAAAGATAGAGTAAATCTGTCCGTATATGTTGATGGGGAAAGATGTCCATGTCACAGATGAAAAGGGATGAGGATGTGTAAAATTTTCAAGTACAAGCCAGGCTTGGTGGCTCAGCCTGTAATCCCGCACCTTGGAAGGCTGAGGTGAGTGGACTGCCTGAACCCGCGGGTTCGAGACCTGCCTGGGCAACTTGGTGAGACCTCATCTCTACAATAAATAAAAAAATTAGCCAGGTGAGGTAGCGCGCGCCTGTAGTTCCAGCTACCTGGAAGGCTGAGGCGGGAGGATCGCCGGAGCCCAGCAGGTTGAGGCTGTGGTGGCCGGGAGCGGCCACTGCACTCCAGTCTGGGCAACAGAGTAAGACTCCAACTCAAAAAAAAAAAAAAAAATTTCAGGTACATGCATCGGAGGTGCAGAAAGGCATCCCAGAGGCTGGGGGGATGGGCGGGCCATAACCTCACTTTCTGCATTATAGACTTCTGGGTGTTTTTTGTTTCTTTTTCATTGCAGTGAGCATATGCCACTTTTATTGTTAAGCTGTTTTCCTACTGTAGGAAAGAAAAAATACCAGACAGGTGGCAGTTTCGGTTATCTTTGAAAAATGAACTCGACAGTCCCAGGGGACAGAGATCATCGTGGTAGATATCTGGTCTCTCTGGGGGATAGGCTGAGCCACCGCTTCCTGCCGGGTTAAGCTCAGGGACCCCTCCTCTGAGAACTACCTGCTCCCTGCACAGCTGGCCCCTGGGAGCTGCAGCAGGGCCCTGACCAGCAAAGCTGTGGGCACCTTGTTGGTGGCTCGGCACACCAGGTTGTCCTGGAGCCTTCTCTTGTCCCCCTGGCCCTACCCCACAGAAAAAGGCAAGGCCCTTTGTCCATCAGAAGCTGCCCTGTGGCTTCTTGGAATTCCCTGAGCAGGCGGCCAAGATCACTCCCGCTCCAGATTTTTCATGGTTCTAGATTTTTCTTTTGATGGTCTGGTTCTTGCCTGAAGCAGAGAAACCAGAGAGAGAATGAGGTGGAAAGCTGAGGACCTCCCAGACCCCTACTGGTATTTAATGCAAAGGAATGTCAGAAATAGACCTCACGACTAGGCACAGTTTCGCACACACCAGTAACCCCAGCACTTTGGGTGGGAGGATCGCTTGAACCTAGGAGTTCAAGACCAGCCTGAGCAGCATAGTAAGACCTTGTTTCTACAAAAAAATAAAAAACTTAGCCGGGCGTGGTGGCAGCTTATAGTCCCAGCTACTTGGGAGGTTGAGGCAGAGGGATCACCTGAGCCGAGGAGGTCCGGCCTGCAGTGAACTGTGACACTGCAGTCCGGCCTGGGTGACAGAGTGAGACCTTGACTCAAAAAAAAAAATTAATAATAATCATCATCATCATTAAAGAAGTAGACCTTCTCACGATACTCCACCCACCCTGGTTCACTCGTTCCCCAAGGTAGGTCTAAACCAACTTTGGGTAGGTTGGTTCTTGGTCTGGTCTGTGTGCCGGGCACCAGGGCCACCACACCCTCTCTGGTCCTGCCACCCCTCCAGGTGCCAATGGCTCCTCTCTCTGTCTCCCTTCCAGCCCTCCTGCCTCCTGCCCACCATGGCCTCTGCTGACAAGAATGGTGGGAGCCTCTCCTCTGTGTCCAGCAGCCGTCTGCAGAGCCGGAAGCCACCCAACTTGTCCATCACCATCCCGCCCCCTGAGAAAGAGAACCAGACCCCGAGTGAGCAGGACAGCATGCTCCCCGAGGTAAAGGGATCGGCTTGGGGGCTTGCTGCCCTGCCACAGCTGACAGATGTATCCATGTGACACCTTTCGGGTGGTTTCACTTTCCGGGGAGGCCCTTTCTTCCTGAGTCTCAGTGGCCTGTGCAGTCCTTGACTCAGACCCCTTCCTTCCTGGGCCTGAAATATCACAGGGTTTGAGGCCCTGCACTGAGGGCCTGTCTCATGGTGGTCAAGGGAATATGGGAAGTGCTGGCCCCAAGAAAGGGCTTGCTGGTGGCCCGGGCCCCGGGCTGTTTGCATTTCCTCTCCCAGGCATGCGCTCTAGGTCTCCCTTCTGAGGGGTGGGGACTGTGCCTCGCGTGAACAGGGGGACAGTGTCTCTTCAGCATCAGCAGTCTGCCTTTGCAGCGCCTGGTTCCTCTGGAAGGATGAATATGCATCAACATTTCCGACAGTCCAGACTGTTACCCCATAAAGAGCTCATTGAAAACAGGCTCGTAATGTGTGGGCTGGCTGTACAGCCTGGAACATAAAGGGAGTGATGTTAGTGCGGCCTGCTCACCCGAGAGCTCTGCAGAATGTCTAGAGGCAGGCGAGAACATCATGGCACAGTGGGAGTTAGGGTCATGTGTGCTGGGGGCCACTGAGAAGCATTAGACAGCAGTGATTTTAAATTCAAAATGATAGCAGCTCAGGTGTCCATCGATGAGGATTGAGCTTTGCTTCCAGGGTTTTCATGTGGGAGGCTAAGACGAGCCAGCTGGGATCTGGGCTCCTCATATCACAATCTGTCCTTCCTCCTGCCTCCTGCAGAGACCCAAGAACCCAGCCTACTTGAAGAGCGTCAGCCTCCAGGAGCCACGGGGACAACGGCAGGAGAGCAGCTCAGAGAAGCGCCCCGGCTTCCGCCGCCAGGCCTCCCTGTCCCAGAGCATCCGCAAGTGAGCACCCATCCCAAGTGACCTGGGGATTCCTGGGCCTGGTCCCTGTGTCCCTTCTCCAGAAGGAGCAGCCGGACATTAAAAGCCAGTGCGTCTTTCTGTAGAACCTAATAGCATGGTATAGATGGGTAGACTGAGGCCCAGGGATAAGTGCCTCGCAGAAGGTCACTGCGGAGGCTGAGGGGGCTCAAAGAGCTCAGGTGGGCCACTGCCCTGCTTGGGTCTCCCATGGGCCTGGCTCTTCCAGCCCAGTTCCTCACAGTCTGGGCATCAGTCTGCTTCTGCTGAATCGGTCATCGGGCTCTGGCCAGGGGACTCAAGGGCGGGCTGACCTTCCCTTACTCCCAATCCCCTGTAGGTATACGGTTGCCCCTCACATTTCCTCCCCTGCATGCACGCGGTTGCACACGTGCCGCCACCCTTCCAGCACACATTCAAGTTCACAGATATGCACGAGTGCATTCCCACGTTCCCTGTCCCCTCCCGCAGGGGCACAGCCCAGTGGTTCGGGGTCAGCGGCGACTGGGAGGGGAAGCGGCAGCACTGGCAGCGCCGAAGCCTGCACCACTGCAGCGTGCGCTACGGCCGCCTGAAGGCCTCGTGCCAGAGGGACCTGGAGCTCCCCAGCCAGGAGGTGCCGTCCTTCCAGGGCACGGAGTCCCCCAAGCCCTGCAAGATGCCTAAGGTGGGCTCCGTGGAGGGGCGAGGGGATGAGGGATGGGGGATGGGGCAGCCTCCCCAGGGGCCGATCAGCTCTGCTCACCACTTCCCTTTCTTCCAGATTGTGGATCCGCTGGCCCGGGGCCGCGCCTTCCGCCACCCAGACGAGGTGGACCGGCCCCACGCCCCACACCCACCGCTGACCCCGGGGGTCCTGTCGCTCACCTCCTTCACCAGTGTCCGCTCTGGCTACTCCCACCTGCCACGCCGCAAGAGGCTGTCTGTGGCCCACATGAGCTTTCAAGCTGCCGCTGCCCTCCTCAAAGTGAGAGGCTGTCTCCCGCTCCCCCCTCCACTGCCTCTGCTCCGCCTCCCTTGGTCGTCCCTTCCTCCTACTCCTCATAGCATCCCTGAGAGTTCACCCAGGCAGGAGCAGCAGATGTGCTGGGATCCCTGGACAGGGAAAGGGACCGTGAAGCCCCGTGGCCCTGCATGGAGCTGCAGGGCCTCCGTCTTTTTGTTGGCAGCCAGGCCTACAGCCAGGACTTGAACGTTGGGGTGTCCGTTGCCCGATTCTCTCGTGACTGTTCCCCCCAGCTGCCTAGTTTTGAGAGCTGGTTTCTGCACTGACTTCTAAGCAGGGGGGAAGGAAGAAATGAAATGTGCACTCGCTGGTCCCCCGCCCATATCTTCTAAGCTCCTGTCATGTACAGAGCCTGGGGAGTGTAGAGCCAGTCATTGCCCTTGCCGAGCTCCTAGCCCAGGAAGAATGGCAGATGTCCTCACTCAGAGTAATCAGCTCAGGAGAAGGGCTGGTGTCAGGGAAGACATTGAGCTAAGCCCAGAAAAATAGGAAAACACCAGGAAGGGAACAGCATTGTCAGTGGAGGAAATGGCCTGTGCAAAGGCCTGGAGGTAGGAAGAAGCCTGGTGTCTTGAGGGTGCAGCAGGTGGTTTGATGTGGTTTCAGCGAGGGTGACTGAGGGGTCAGGAGGTGAAGTCAAGGGTGGGCAGGGCCCTGGGGTGCTGTGCCAAGAAGCAGGACAGGGGACCATGACCAAGCCTCGAGTGTCGAGTATGGATTGCTTTGAGTGCTGGGGCGCCAGCCGCCCAAGCCAGAGGAGCAGGAGGTTGCCAGGAGATGACACCAAAGATGGTGAGAGTGGCGCGTTCAGGCTCAATGGGCTCGATGACTCCTTTGGTGTGGTGGACGGGGATACAGGATGCCGGACCCTGGTCCTGATGCTCTGGTCTCTGCCCCATGCACAGGGGCGCTCGGTCCTGGATGCCACCGGACAGCAGTGCCAGGTGATCAAACGCAGCTTCGCCTACCCCAGCTTCCTGGAGGAGGATGCAGTTGATGGGGCAGACACATTTGACTCCTCATTTTTTAGTAAGGCAAGCATGGGGTGTGGGGCTGTGGGCCCTTGGGGACAGTGGGGAGTGAGTGGCCTGGGCGCTGGGAGGGGTGACCTTGGCCTGGATTGCATTCTACCAGGGGCCCCTAAGTGACCCAAAGGCCCGTCCATGGGATGGGGCGTGGCCCTGCATGGAGCTGCAGGGCCTCCGTCTTTTTGTTGGGCAAAGTGAGGACCTGAGGGGATGGGGCACAGTGTCACCTGGAAAAGTCAGCATCAGGGCTGAGCGGTCTGTGGCTTCCCCATCCATTCTGAGGATCTTGGCTATCCAGCCTCATCCTGACCGTGAATTGGGGTGCGAAGGGGGCAGCATTGCAGACAGTGACTCCTTACACTTTGTGCGTCTCCACCCAACCCCAGGAAGAAATGAGCTCCATGCCTGACGATGTGTTTGAGTCTCCCCCACTTTCTGCCAGCTACTTCCGAGGGATTCCGCGCTCAGCCTCCCCCATCTCCCCCGACGGGGTGCAGATCCCTCTGTGAGTGCTGGGCCGTCCCTCCTCCAGCCCCTCTGTCCAGCCTGGGGGCATCCCCATACCTTACCCTGGCCCTCAAACCCATTCTGAGCCCCCGGGTGGTGTCCGGGAGCGGGGAGTGGAGGGAATGTCAGGCTGAGGGCCTCCGTCCCCACCAGGAAGGAGTATGGCCGAGCCCCAGTCCCCGTGCCCCGGCGCGGCAAGCGCATTGCCTCCAAGGTGAAGCACTTCGCCTTTGACCGGAAGAAGCGGCACTACGGCCTGGGCGTGGTGGGCAACTGGCTGAACCGCAGCTACCGCCACAGCATCAGCAGCACCGTGCAGCGGCAACTGGAAAGCTTCGACAGCCACCGGTGAGGCGCCACCCGGGAAGGTTGGGGGCTCCACGCTCTAGGCCCTCCTCCACAGCAAGTGTTTCGTGAGTGTCTCCTGTGAGTCAGGAGTGACAAGCTTGAAGACCACTCTGTCTTTTGGGAGCCTGCACGGGACCCGGGCAGGGCCCTCAGGTGCTTGCTGCTTCTCCTCCACCTCCTGCTTTCTGGGCCTGTGTCCTCAGCTTGGCGCCCAGACGGCAGTCAGTAGGCGGTCAACAAACGTTCATTGAGTTCTGCCACACACAGGCCCTGCAACAGAGCCCCAAGACGATGGAGTGGGGAGAGCAGGATGGGTCAGAGGCCAGTTAGAAACTGGAACCGGGAATGACGGGACTCTGGGGGAGGCCAGGCAGACCCCTTGGGAAAGTCAGATGACTACAGATTGGTGATTCTTGTACAGCGTACAGATCAGCAGTGGCTCAAACACCAAGCCATGGCAGGTGTCCAGAGGACAGAGAGTTGAAGTCAACAGCTGTAGGAAGGGATGCAGCCAGGACTAGCAGGAGTTATGTCATGTGCAAAGGCCCTGGGGCTGCAGGGAGCATGGTGTGTCCCAGGAGATGCAGGAGGAGGGGAAAGAGGCTGGATAGGTGGGCAGGCACAGTAAGGCTTTGCAGCCAGCAGGAGGCAGTGATTTTGGAATGTCCCGGGGCCCTGGAAAACTGTCAAATAATTTTAAGCCAGAAGAGAGACACTTGGAGGTGTATCTTAGAAGTTACTCTGGTGCAGGATGAGTTGGCAGGTATAGAAGTGGAGAGCAGGGGCCAGGTGAGCCTGGTGCGACAGGCCGGGACTGGAAATTGGGATGTCAGTTCGGCTCAGCTGACCCAAGCCCTCTATCCACCTCTGTTTGAAGCCCCTACTTCACCTATTGGCTGACCTTTGTCCACATCATCATCACGCTGCTGGTGATTTGCACGTATGGCATCGCGCCCGTGGGCTTTGCACAGCATGTCACCACCCAGCTGGTGAGTTGGCATCATGCTGGGTGTCCCAGTCTCCCCCAAGAGCCTTCAGCATCCTGGGCACCAGACTCCTCCCACTGCGACAACCTGGCCCCAGCAGGAGGGTGCTCAGGGCTCACCACAGCCTGGTCCCTTCCTAGAGGCTCTGCCCTGGGGACAGCTGTCCCACCTCTCACCCCCTGTCCCCCGCGCCCCAGGACCGCACCATTCTGATGCCTTCCCTTGTGCTACCTCTGTGACAGGTGCTGCGGAACAAGGGTGTGTACGAGAGTGTGAAGTACATCCAACAGGAGAACTTCTGGATTGGCCCCAGCTCGGTGAGAGTCCAGCCAGGGCATCGTCCAAGCCAGGAAACCCTGCGCCCTGTTGCTCCATAAGGGAAGATTCAACAGAGGTAGAATGACGGGTCTTTCCCAGGTCTGGGGCCCACGTTCACTCTTTCCCCTCCCCCACAGATTGACCTGATCCACTTGGGCGCCAAGTTCTCACCCTGCATCCGGAAGGACCGGCAAATCGAGCAGCTGGTGCTGCGGGAGCGAGACCTGGAGCGGGAGTCGGGCTGCTGTGTCCAGAACGACCACTCAGGCTGCATCCAGACTCAGCGGAAGGACTGCTCGGTGGGGACACACACACACACACGCACGCACACGCACACACACACACACACACACACACACACGAGGGTGCAGGCGCAGCTGCTGAATGGCCAGTTGACCTCCCCCAGTCCCATAGAGGCGAAAGCCGGATTTCAGGGGTGTCAGACAGGGATGGAGAACTGGGAAATGGCCCTGAACCCTAGGGAAAATGGAAAAAATGGGAAAAGCCCCCGTCCTGGAGGGTCCCCTGCCCACTCCAACGAGGGTGACCTTGCCCTGGCTTGACCTGCCCTCCAGGAGACTTTGGCCACTTTTGTCAAGTGGCAGAATGACACCGAGCCCCCCATGGACAAGTCTGATCTGGGCCAGAGGCGGACATCGAGGGCCGTTTGCCACCAGGACCCCAGGTATGGCCTGGAGCCACTCCTGGGTCTCGGGGTGGCTGTAGCTAGACTGTCTGAGCCACCCACAGGGACAGAGGTGGCAGGCATGGCAGTCTAGGGATGGCACAGCCCAACCAGACCTCTGCCTCCAGGACCTGCGAGGAGCCAGCCTCCAGTGGCGCCCACATCTGGCCTGATGATATCACCAAGTGGCCGGTGAGTGAGTGTCTCAGCGGAGAGTGGTCTGGGTAGGGCAGGGACAGGAACCTGCTCCCCACTCAGGCCCTCCGTCATGGGTGCCCCCTCCTGCAGATCTGCACAGAGCAGGCCAGGAGCAACCACACGGGCCTCCTGCACATGGACTGCAAGATCAAGGGCCGCCCCTGCTGCATCGGCACCAAGGGAAGGTGAGCCAGCCCGGGCCCTGCCCGCCTCAGTGTGGCCTGCTGCCTCCCTAGAGCTGCAACTCCTCTGCCCGCCTTCTCCTTCCTCACCTGCTGGGCTGGGGCCCTCTGAGACCGTCCCTCCCTCCCCAGCTCTGGAGCTGCCCACGGTGTAAGCAGGAGGAAGGGGGCCTCGCGCCAGAGCTGAGGACTCTGCAGAAGGTCACCCTCATTCCTGCCAGCAGTGCCTGCTGTGGCCAGGCGCTGGGCTCCGGGCGGGGTGGGTAGGGGCTTCTCAGGACTCTGATGCCCCCTTGCCTCATCATCCACCCCCTCAGCTGTGAGATCACCACTCGGGAGTACTGTGAGTTCATGCATGGCTACTTCCATGAGGAAGCAACACTCTGCTCTCAGGTGAGGAGCGGCCCGGTGGGGGCCTGGGGTGGAGTGTGAGGGCTCTCAGCCCTGGTGGAGGAAGCTGGGCACAGCTGCCTGCTGGGGCCAGGGCTCACCTATTCCCTCACACGTCTGGGCGCTGACCTCCACACCACCCACAGGTTCACTGCTTGGACAAGGTGTGTGGGCTTCTGCCCTTCCTCAACCCTGAGGTCCCAGATCAGTTCTACAGGCTTTGGCTGTCTCTGTTCCTACACGCTGGGTAAGAGGCTCCCCGCTGCCCTGAGCCCAAGGCCCTGTGCTGGCTGCCCATGTGGGCCGCGGAGAAAGGCCCCCCCGGGCCAGGGCACAGCCAGCCTGATCCGCCAGGCTCCACTGCTCTGAAGCACCCGGTTAGCAGCCATGGGGAGGCGTGCAAAGGCTGATGCCTGGTGTTTCCCCCACCCCAGCGTGGTGCACTGCCTCGTGTCTGTGGTCCTTCAAATGACCATCCTGCGAGACCTGGAGAAGCTGGCCGGCTGGCACCGTATTGCCATAATCTTCATCCTCAGCGGTATCACAGGCAACCTGGCCAGCGCCATCTTCCTCCCATACCGGGCAGAGGTAGGGACGTGGGGGATGGGGCGGGGAGGTGACCAGGCCTTCCCCAGCCTGAAGCCCTGCGGCATATGGGTGGCGCAGCCCTGTTGCTCTTGCCCCACCCACGCCGAACCTGCTTGAGGGACACAGGCCCCTCCTATGCTGGGCTCACCCGTGGATGAATAGCTAAGCTGGGGGCTTATCAGTCAGTCCCTTAATCCAGGCAAGAGGGAGCAGCGATGCTTTTGAGTCACCAGAGAACCCTGACCACCCTCTGTGCTCAGGGTCACCTCCCCATGGACCGCTGTCCTTCTCTGCCTTGGGTCTGTTCACAGCCATGCCAGCTACCTGCCAGCATGCTACACCTCCTTAGGTTGAGCCCTATGCAACTGCCTACAGAAATGGCCGCTTTGATGAGTTCAGTTTCTTGGTTAGCTTGTTCAGTGTCTTCCCCCTCCCCACTGTGTGCCTCCTTGTCTGTTGTACTTATCAAATCACACCCACACTGGGCACGTCCACAGTAGGTGCTCAATGTTTCTGCCCAAATGAGTGGAGCAGGCCCAGCTTTGGACCCCCAGTCCCTCAGCGTTGAGGTCCCCACCACCACCGGGGAGGGGCTTTTCCATGAGATGATCCAGGACCCGGCCCCGGGCCCAGCCTGGGCTGCCCACCTGGTGGTACCTCAGCCGCACCGCCCCTCCCCCGCCCCAGGTGGGCCCAGCTGGCTCGCAGTTCGGCCTCCTCGCCTGCCTCTTCGTGGAGCTCTTCCAGAGCTGGCAGCTGCTGGAGCGGCCCTGGAAGGCCTTCCTCAACCTCTCGGCCATCGTGCTCTTCCTGTTCGCCTGCGGCATCCTGCCCTGGATCGACAACATCGCCCACATCTTCGGCTTCCTCAGTGGCTTGCTGCTGGCCTTCGCCTTCCTGCCCTACATCACCTTTGGCACCAGCGACAAGTACCGCAAGCGAGCCCTCATCCTCGTGTCCCTGCTGGTCTTCGCCGGCCTCTTTGCCTCGCTGGTGCTCTGGCTCTACATCTATCCCATTAACTGGCCCTGGATTGAGTACCTCACCTGCTTCCCCTTCACCAGCCGCTTCTGCGAGAAGTACGAGCTGGACCAGGTGCTGCACTGACCCCCTACTCAGCCTGGCTGGGCCCCGCTGCTACCACAGAGCACTGGCGACACACGGTCTGTGCTCGCAACCCGTCTGTGGGGCGCTCGGAATGCCACAGACCCGCGAACAGGGGCCAGGCTCTGGGCTCAGGCACACCCCCTGCCAGGCAAGGCTGACTGTGTGAGATGACCAATAAAGATGGGTTTCTTGGGGGAGTGAGGCCTGAGCATTCCTGGCCCAGGCCTGGGGACACCGGGAGTCCCTGAATCTTCGAGCCTTGGATCCCAGGCCCTGATTTCTTCCCTGTCCCCTGCTGTAACCATCTCCTGGGGGCAGGTTTCTTTTCTTCCCAGGGTCTTTAGCCACTGCCTCTGGTGGTCCTGTTCCCACTCCCCACTATTCCTTGCCAGGGATGCTCCTTTGGTTGCCTGTAGGGGCTGGGTGCCCACCATGCCCGCCACTGCCCCCTCCTGTTCCTCCTCTTTCCTCTGCCCTGTGAGTCCACCTGTAAGGCACCCAGGTGGGAAATTGTGGGAGGGGCATTGGTTGTGGTCTGGGAGGAGAGAAAAAGCAAGGAGACACAACTAGACTGGGACGCCAAGAGTCTTTGCTGGCTTTTAGCAAACAGAGGCTGTATTCCCCCAACCCGCCCTCCCTTTGGCTCAGTGTCCTGCCTCATGGGTTGGCTCTGATGATGGGGCTGGCCCTACCACTTCTGCCTCATTCTTGCCCGAGTAGGGGCGGGGGCTGAGCCAACCCAGGACCTGCTTCCAGGGGTGCTCGAAGATCCAGCAGGCCTTTTTTTTTTTTACCAGTTTATATGATGGTCCTAATTTTTAAAAGTAACGCTAACTTTGTATGGATGATGTCTCAAGTGTATTAAATGATATTCTTTATGGCAGTATTGTCTTTTAACCCAAGTCCTCAGGTAGAATGAAGCCAGAGTGTTGGGGTGAGGGGTCAGCCATGAGGAGTTCGGAGGTAGTGGTTTGGACTAAGGGACAGTGAAAAACTGACAGGACTTCTCAGGAATTTAGTTGGGCCAGAAACCAGATTGGAGACACATGGAAGACCTCAGAGGGTCTCTTGGGAGAGCTGAATCATGAGCCCCCTGGGGCCCCCACCCCCACATGCTTCGCCTTGGCTCTGGGGCAGTGAGGATGCTGACAGGGCTGAGGGGTGGCCTGTTCTGGAAGAGCCTGCGCTGAGAAGGTACAGCACTTGTCCCTCGTGCCAGCCAGGGACGAGTGCCCCTGTGCCTCCCCCACAGGCCTCCACGCCATGTGCTGAGGAGCTGCCGGGGAGGCAATGAGGTGTAACCACTGCATCACCATGGCAGGGGAGCCAGCTCAGGGACTGGTGGGCAGCCGGGAGAGAAGGGCAGACCTGAGGGGCAGGTGGCCACAGACATGCCCAAGGGCTGGGCAAGCGACCCTGCATTTGCTTCCCTGCCCCGAGGCTGCCACCATCTTAGAGTCTCCTGCCTTTCCCTCCTTCTAGGGACTGAGGGCCAGAAGGGGTGTTGTGAGGCCAGGGAGAATAGGGACCCCCAAGCATCAGGCCCCTCCCATGAGGATGGTGCCCTGGTGCTGGGCCCTTCGCCCATTGCCTGGAGGAGGAAATGAGGTGGGGGCCTGAGAATGCCTCCCGCCGTCCCTGTTTCCCAACCTAGCGGGTCTCAGGCAGAGTTTGGAGGTCTGGAGGGCCTTGCAGGGACAGAGGGGACAGGCCACTCCTGCTCTGAGCAGCCTGGGCTGGGAGAAGCCACCCCATCTCTTTAGCCCTGCCCTCTCCACCCTTACTGGAAATCGCTGTCTCCTTTCATGCTCACCCAAGCCGGATGAGTCCAGGGCAGAGATGGGGACCCTGGCCTGCCTTCCCACATCTCCAGCAGCCAGGTGGGCTGCCCGGTTCAGCAGCCACTGTTCCTGCGCAGGAAAGCATGGCCCCGCAGGGAGCACTGGAGCTCGGTGAAGGTGAGGGAGCCCACGGCGACGGCGCACGGGCCCATAGCACGGAAGCCAAACCTCTCGTAGAAAGGTACCAGTGCATCCTCACACATGAGCACGGCCCGGCGCACGGCCGGCTGGCCACCCAGGTGGTGCAGGTAGCGCCACAGCAGAATGGGGCCCTTGCCCTGCTGCCGGAAGGTGCGGTGCACCGCCAACACGTGCAGGTGGGCCGTGTGGCCCCCGGGTCTGTGCAGCATCAGCGACTCCTGGGGGCAGACGAGGGACATGAGTCCATGTCACTTCTGTGAACACGCACTCCCCTCTAAGCCGCACAACCCAGGCCGAGGGCAGGTGTCCCCTGAGTACCACCAGTCAGAGCTCCCTTCCCACCAGAGGAGGGTCCCCAAATTGGGCGCTTTACCCCCAGTCCCATGGAGGAAACCTTGAAGGTCCAGAAGGGCTGGTCATCTTGCCCTGGGAGGGGGCCTGGGACCTCCACTGATCTCTCCAGTTCCAGAGGAAGAAATCCCAGCCTTGGCTCCCCCGCCACCATCTGGCTGAACTCTTGTCAGAGGCCTCCCAGGAGTCGGACGCCATCCCGCTCTCACCTGAGTGAGTCTCTCCTTGTCCCAGAGTGAGCCAATGATGAAGGCCACAAGACGGCCCTCCTCGAACCAGCCCAAGGACAGCTCTGGACACAGGGTCAGGAAGTGCCGAATCTCATCCAGGTACAGGGGGCAGATGCCCGAGACAGAGATGAAGGCTGCAGCAGGAGGCAGGAGGGTGACTCTGGTCACTGTGCTGCACACCCACTGTCCCCTGCACCTCAAGTGTCAGTCCAGGTGCCCCCTCTCCTCAGGAAAGCAGGGAACTCAGGTCCATCTCCCCCACTTTCTTTTCCTTTTTTTTTTTTTTTTTTTTTTTTTAGAGACAGGGTCTTGCTCTGTTGCCCAGACTGGAGTACAGTGGCACTATCATGGCTCAGGAGACCACAGCCTTGGTCTCCTGAGCTCAGGTGATCCTCCTGCCTCAGCCTCCCAAATAGCTGGGACTACAGGCACATACCGCCATGCTCGGCTAATTTTTTATTTATTATTTATTTATTTATTTATTATTATTTTTTTTTTTAGTTGGAGTCTCGATCTGTCGCTCAGACTGGAGTGCAGTGGTCGCTCCCGGCCACCACAGCCTCGACCTGCTGGGCTCCGG